GTCATCAAGTGTCAGGGTACGTAACATTAAAGGTCCATTTTTTGTCAATAGGGTTTGTACACGTTCTTTTCTCCATAGGGTTTGTACACGTTCTTTTCTCCATAGGTTTTGTACACGTTCTTTTCTCCATAGAGTTTGTACACGTTCTTTTCTCCATAGAGTTTGTACACGTTCTTTTCTCCTTAGGGTTTGTACCCGTGGGGTCGGACAACTCGACCGTTATCCAACTTGACATTTTGACAGCGTGCGCGTGCATGCCTTGCCGCCCTACAGCTGGCCAGGTCCCCGCGCACTCTACGCGGTACAGTCATGATGCCACATATTTATGCGGCTTACGTAAATGTGACAAACTTGTAGTTGGGTATGTGAGTTGGGATAATCATGATTTATCAGAGATTAACAACTTTAAAGAATTTCTTAAATGTTAATGTGGGATTTTTGGGGATTTGTTCAAGTGCGCCACGTTAGGAACACTGGAAAGAATTCCATATAAGCCTCCACCTCTATGGGCCATGACAGGAAAAGTATTTTTAAAGAAAATCTTGATTTTTTCCCCTCCTAAATTTCCGTTTCTTCGTCAGATTTACAACTGTTGGTACTTTTCAAGTCATGTCTAGGAAAATAACTGGAGTCCGTATATGGAATTCTTTCCAAGACGTCATTAAATTTAATTCCCTTCTCGTCTGCTCAGTACTATTGGTATTTTCACTCCCAACATGAATCATGTTACTGTTAAAGTTGTTTGCTGCCCTCTAGTGTTTCCTGTGACGAAATGCCCAAAAATGTTCGTGACGTGCAACTGCATTGGTCCGGCACTCATGGCCATAGCCAGGACAATACATGTAAGGCCAAAATCACAGATCGACACAAGCAAAATGACACGCAGGCCAAATTTCATGACAGGCCACTCCGTGTTGGAGGTTAGCCATGGCTTTTAGGGGGCTGGATACAAACAGGATTACATGTTTTCTTCAGCTAATAATTATATTTTGGCAGTTTGCTAAAGCTGATCGCATTAGATTTAACAACACCACACACTGATGGCTCAAAAACAATTTTCGTAACAATGACGTACGTACCATTGTACAGTATCACCTGACGGCTATAGTTCTCAAGATTCTCTATCTCTTGGACGTACCAGTCCGATTGGGTTCAAAGCTGGTACGCAAGTATTCCAGGGTGTGTTATGAGTACAAAACCACATTATACGTCATGATCACACCATGATGACGCCTTCATGACGTCATCGCATACCATGTGACCAAACATTCAAGTTATAGTATTTATTATATTTCACACCATTTATCTCTGAAAGTGCTAGTTCCATTGGCTTCGAACTTGGATTTGCTTCAAACATTATCACGTCATGTGCCGTCATTAAAGGGATAATTGTCAGGGCCTATATTGTATGATATTTGTATAACTAGAGATTCCATTTGCATGTGACTAATGTACGTATCAAATATCTATGAAATTTGAGGTGATGTCGTCATGTCATCAACACACGTCACAGCCGAAACAGCTTGCGTTTGTCGACAAACGCATACCTCTAGTTGTTCTTGTTTTTGTTTTTTTGTTTTTTGGTCACAGATTTTATCATGTTTTTTTTCTTGTTCCTTTTTTTCTTAAACGTTAAATTTCAAATATTATCCTTTTGTTTTACAGTTTAACTGATTACTTTAAGTTTTTATCTTTAAATCATGACTTTTAAGCTCTAATATATTATTTTATACGGGAAGTGATTGAAGATGGGCTGTACAGCCTTTCCACAACCTATGACTTTGTCAAAAAAATATAATAATAATAATAATAATAATTATAAAATTGCATTTATTATGCGCATCTACCATAACATGTTCAAATACGCATTACAACATTTGAACAGTATAGTTAAAATATTAAAAGTACGAATTCGAATTAAACATTAGTCTTAAATGTAAAAAAAAAACACTAAATATTTTAGATAACACTGTCAAAACAATGTAACTTAAAATTACAAAAACAAGCCTACATTTAAATTAGATAATAGTAAAACCTTATACGAATGCCTTTGTAAAAAGAAGTCTTAAGCTTAGTCTAAAAAACTGTTAGAGACTGAACAGACTCAATTTCAGGCGGTAGCTGGTTCCATAAGCTGGGAGCGGCTTGTGCAAATGCACGATTTTCCATAGTCTTTTGCATTCTCCAAGATGGATAATCTAAAAGCAACCGCCCATTGGATCGCAGGGAATACTTGGAATGGACCTTAACTTTCAACATGTCTATAATGTATATGGGAGCAAGATCACAAAGAGCCTTGAAGGTCAAAAGAAGGATTTTAAAGTGTATGCGAGATACGACTGAGATTACTTTATCCCAAATGAATCACCTCTTGGTAATAGGGAATGTTAAGCAGGAGCTGGTTTGGTAACAGGTTGGCTTGGTAACGCTCTCAGAAAATCGAAGAGTGTTGCATTGAGATGAGCCTGTGATTACCGGAAGAGTGATTGTCAAGGAGAATTGATATCGTACACGCAATCATGTGTCAAATAAAAACTGGTTCTCAATACGTACGCTCGGCCTTATTTTTCCTTTGCGCCATAAAAATGGTGGGGGCAATAAGGGACAAGGATTTGTTTTTGTTTTTATTGGGGGGAGTCAAAATAAAATTTCATGATATTCAAAATCTATAGGGGAAAGTAAGGAAGAGCCCAACAACTAAATGGTAACTAAAAGCCTGTGTACGCGCGCGTGCCCATTCTCAATGGTCCGGAAATAAGCCACTGGAGCAACTTAGAAGTTTAGTTGGTTGTTTTATGAATGGGAAATGTGTCCACCCGCAGAATGGTCTATAACAAAAGTACAACAAAACAAAAAAAGACGTTGACTGCACACTATCCACGGCTGTATAAATGCATTTGTGTTTTGTCTGCCAAGGTACCAATGTATATAATGCTTTCATTGGCCCAATATGTTTCCACATAACCGATGATTCATCCTGTATGTTCAACTTGTCATGAATCTAAACAGCGAAAGAAATAAACATAATCAATATATTTGTTGATAAAGTGTTGATGGAAAATGGCGAGGGGGGGGGGGGTCGTTGAACTGGGGGAAAAGGAAACAACAAATCCCCCACCTTCCAGCAGCGCCGCCACTGGCATTGCCACGTATTGTTTGTTATATACAATTATGTTCTCATTAAGGTGAACGCAGGATCTGTGGGTTACCGGCAACTGTTGTAAATGACCCACTGGGTTTGCTTTTGTACCTGTGCGCTAAATAAAAACTGAAGCTCGAATTACTAACATGTTTTTTTTGTTGCAATAGAAACCACTTTTTGCAAATACGTCAATACTATGACATCCAGACCTCGCGCGCCCACGCAGTTAACGTGAGACAGCAAAATTAAGGAGGTATGGGATTTCAGTCTCCCTGTGAGACAACTAGTAAGTTAAGTTGTAACTGTGGTTAGAATTTTCCAATCTGTCCGTGTGTCAAGATTTGCATTGTGGTCGTATAATTTCACAGCATTCCAGTGCTTGGATTTGTATGATGAACTTGAAGTTACAGCCTAAACCAAGTATGCAGTTTTTCAAGTCTCTTGGAAGAAATACCGTCTGAGCTTTTTTTTTTTTTTTTTTGGTACACAAATTGCGGAGTGCTAACTGCCAGAATTGACTTTGTGTACAGGGAAAATGACAATTCAAATGATATTTGGGTCTGTTTAATTAATCACATGGAAAATAACATATAAACAGCAAGTATTTCCGAGCATCAAACGTATCCCGCACCTGCACCATTTTGAATATGATCTTTATTGTACGGTATACTTGTACTTACGTGAACTTAAGAGTTTAATCACATCATCAAGAATAAGTCGCAAGTTTATCACCCAGCCATCCAAGTCCAAGTCGAGTGAAAACTATTCGAAGAAACCATGACGAAACCGTTCCTTTGTCAATGTTCACCGCTTTCATTTATGATCTGACTTGCTATTTTATTTGATAACATATATTTTGAGAAAACTGCCATTCCCGCACGTTGACTCTGTAAGAGTAAACCTTTGGTCGTTTTTGAATCGTGCGCTGAATATTCGATGGCAAAATATGTGGACTTACAGCAAATTATTGTTTATATGCAGAAAAAAAACAGCCCGATAGACCAAATTGTTGTGCAATGGTTGACCCAAATTCATTGTTCCAAATTATCCAGGTAAAGCTTCTATGCATGAACGTTTCCTAATTCCTATCTTCCAAATCTTCACGACAACGGCAGTGATAATTAATCCATGAGCTGCGGTAAAGAATTCTAAAGAACGATAGCTCGACAATTAACAAAAAATTGGGTCATTCAACAATGGGTTATTTCTGTAGGTTAAATTCTGTCACAGATTGAGAGCGACGTATATTGATCCGATTACACATATTTATCGTGTGCTTCTTTTTATTTGTCAAAGACACTGACCGCAAAATTTGTTTTTCTCACGCAGACGCATTTTTTTTCTCTAGAAAGAGATTTGGCTTAAGCATTGTCCTAAGTAATAGTCCTACAGCTGCTATTTGGTGCAGAAAGATACCGCTAGCGATTTTTTGTTTAATTATCGATCACTAAGCTACGCTGTGTAGTAACTATTAGAACGGGCTTGGTTTCGAGACTGGTCTTTCCAGAACTAACTCTGCCGCCATGGATGGAGCACGTTATCAGAAGGGCTCCTCTAAAGGAGGACTTGCCTTGAGTATGGCGATCGTGTTCTTCGTTTTTACCAGTTTTAGGCCTATACTGAAGGTATCTGGAGAAACCATTTGCACTCGGCAGCCATTGTCACAAACGTTCGTTGCTGCTGAAATCGAGCACTGAGAAATGCCACAATATGGTCAGGTTCGGTTGGTAGTCGTGTCACTTGTGTCAGCAAGTGTCACTCGTTGCCTGCGTGCAAATCGGCCAACTTCTATCAACCCAGGGAGTATTTGATCTGAATAATGCCACACGAACCGATGTTCCCAATAACTTCGTTGCAGACTACGCGAGGGTGTACTTTGATGGTAAGGGAGACACATCTAAGTTGTCTGTTGCAGCTAATAGCGATTGCCAGAGTTTACTAAAGGCAGGTTACAGCGTGAGCGGTATCTATACGATATTCCCCGCGGGATTTGCAGATGGTTTGAGGGTGTACTGCGACATGGAGACCGACGGTGGAGGCTGGCTTGTCATTCAGAGGCGTCAGGATGGCAGTGTCGACTTCTACCGCGGATGGGTTGACTACCGCGTGGGCTTTGGGGACTTGGCTGGTGAGTTTTGGCTCGGCAACGACAACTTGCGCACCTTGAGTGATTCTTCTGGATCTTGGGATCTTCGAATCGATTCGGAGGACTGGGATGGCAACACAACCTGGGCCGAGTACGGAAATTTCCGGATCATCTCTGGACAAGATTACCGTCTGAGTTTTGATTCGTACAATGCTAACAGCACGGCCAGAGACTCATTGGCTAACCACAATCACCAGCCGTTTTCAACAAAGGACAAGGACAATGACTCTCATAATAATCTTAACTGCGCAGAGGATGAGAAAGGAGCTTGGTGGTACATGTGGTGTTCTGATTCAAACCTGAACGGTATTTATTTTTATGCGCCTTCACATATACATTTTCAAGGCATCATTTGGAGTTCTTGGAAAGGATATTCCTACTCGCTGAAAAAATGTGGCATGAAAATTCAACGTAGTATGGACTATTTACAGGCTGCTTAAATAGTAAACTATTTGCATCGCTACCATCGCATAGCGCTCAAGATTCTACATTGATGTCTTAGGTATGGGTGTAAGCGATTTGAAAGTAGAATCCCGAGCCCTATCACAACGAACTCCAAAGGGTGGGATGGGTGGGTGGGGAAAATTTACCTCCTAGGCCTGTCTAGAATAGTCATACTCACAATTTGTCCACGAAACTAACGTCTCCCGACTCCACGTCCTGCTCATCCTTGGACCGGCCAGAATCGCGACTGATATAAAATAATTTGCCCTCTACGCTAGCAGCGATGCAAATAGTAAACTATTTGCATCGCTACCATCGCATAGCGCTCAAGATTCTACATTGATGTCTTACGTATGGGTGTAAGCGATTTTCTCTTCGAGCTCCCGGTACTTACCACCAGAAACCCCTCTTGAAAATCACCCCATAACTACCCCATATCTCACCCATCCCTTACCAAAATAAAGTACAGGTTTGATACATCCAAATGCGTGGAGCACAACGTTTTATTAATATCCCCCGTCCTTCCCCAAAACGCCAGTAATATTATTATTCGTTTGCCATTGAATCTTTTCACTGCTAACTTTGTACACCTGTATTTACAAGCCGATTGAAACAGACGTCAGATCAAGACAACTGCTTTGCTAGAAAATCCTTTTTGCAGCTAACGTATCACTGTATTATGGCTTCAAACCCGGGAACGCCCTCTCAGCCCTGAAATTTGAATTTAAGACCCGGTAAAAACTACCCGCCAGATCAGCGGCAGGAATATCTGTGTCGTTCCCTGCCACCGCCTCCCGGAGCATTTGCACTGTTCCTTGCATCCTTGAGACCTTCTCAACCTCGGTGTAGTGTTTGAAGGTCTTCTGCGTCGCCCATTTACAATGGTCCATGACCTGTTGTTCTGTCGCTCCAAGGATCCGCAGAGTGGCTGCGACCCCAGCCCTATTCCCGTGTGCTCGAAGATTAATGTCGCTTGCGTCATTGGAAGCTGTGAAGTAGAGTTTTAGACGATTGTTTGGGTTGCTTCCGGCGAAAGGCTTGTTTGCCAACGACGTCCGGTCCGGGGAGATGGGCCGAAAAAGATACCCGTCTGACAAATCGACACCCGATCCCATCGCCAAATCGACCATTTCTTCGACTGCCCTTGCAGGGTCCATCTCCACCTCATCTAATTTTGGAATTATTATGAGCGATGAACTGTTCTGCCGGATCGTCTTGCCCATCGTGTGGTTGAAAAGAAGGTCCTTCCCATCAACTTTGGTAACTTCGCAAGTTTTACAACGGCCGAGGTCGGCCGCTCGGTCGCCAGCCCACCACAAACAAAGAAAAAAGGCCAGATCCCGGTAGAAAATGTAACGCTGGATAAAGCGGTTTCTGCTGCCGTCCAAATTTGTTATGCGCCTCCTGATCTCGCCGGCTAACCACCTTATTTTGTCGGAGAATATGGGAATAGCTTGATGTGGTGTGACATGCGCCTGTGCCTGCTCTAGTCGGATAGCCTTGACATACTTACGGACTCGAAAAGAGAAGCAAGGATTACCCCAGGATCCGTCTTGTCGCCAAGGTTGAGTTCTACCTACTGAATTGAAATATGCTCTGAGCTGCCCCACGTATGAGTCTACCGTTCCCGCCGCAAGACACCGCTGGCATCCACAATCGAAAATCCCGTGCTTCCCAAAATTCGTACAGCCGAGCCTATGGACTTGGGTTCTGCCCCTGGCCACTCTATCAATCAAAAACGCCACCACGTCATTCGGTGTTGTTGTATCCAAATCCGCCCCTTCAGTGCAGTAACCGGAGCCATGACTTTCACTTAGAAAAACTTCAAGACCCCTCACCAAACTCCTTTTCTGCTTGCTATAAGGTAATCCATCCAGACGTTCATCCAATCCCCGCAGCCTCGCTGTCATATGGATAAGCTTTAACAGAAAGCAAAGGGAAACCGGTTACCAAACTCAACCTGCAGTGCGATCTAAACTCCTCCTCTAGCTGCTAACCCTTGATCGGTATCTCAACGCCCAAACGACGGCTTAAAACTGCCCTCAGCAGCATTTGTAGCTTTCGGTGCAGCTTTAGCTTGCCCCAGACCGTCAGGTGAACATCATCCGCCAAGTCTTGTTGTGGGACATAGTCGTTGGACAGAAAATGCCAACCCGCCGCTTCGCATTGTCTCCTCAACGCGACATTAACAACCGCTACCGATCGGTTGACGGAATCCAAACGTGTTGGGCATACCGATGACAGCACAAATTCGCACTCTGGGTATTGGGTCCTTAACCTCCTGGAAGCTATCTCAAATACCCTCAGTAGCTCGGCCACCCCGGGTGCGCACGCGTTCAGTCTGCTAAAGTCATTAATACCCCCGTGCAAAACTGCCACGCTTGGAACCTGGTCTCGACAACTCTAGGCTAAGGTCCGGCACAAAACCTCCATCTTTGCACCTCCTTCTACCTTTACATTGACCTCCAAAGATGAAGGCCACCCAAAACCACGAAGTCCCCTGAACATTGAGTCCGCAACGAGAAGAACTGATTGCTGCTTTATGGGGTTCACTTCTCTAATCATGCTGTTATCGCCGGGGAAGAAACACCTGAACGCCCACAACTCAAAGGGAAGGCCACTGGAGGCTTTCACATATCCGCTCTTTGAAGGATACTCAAGAACACCGACCTGCCCCCGCTCAGCCAAACGCACTGACTGCATTGCAAAGGACCTCAACTTAGGCCACCAAGACCTTGGATGAGAATGTTTCGGCACCACCATACACACTGTAACGTTTCCCCATTCACAGAAAAGCCTGATGAGAGACGGAATCAAAACAAAGGGAGGAAAAGCATACAACTGCTCTCCGCGGGGACACTCTTGTGCGAACACATTAACGCCTGCCGAACCAGGGACTGGGTATCTAGAAAAAAACTTGAGTGACTTTCCATCATAACCCCTGGGCACATTGGAGGGTAAGGCCATAAGATCGAATGTAAAACCTGTATTCCCCGCGAGCTCCCTCTGGAGAAAAAGCCACAGGGACGCTGGCAACCTGGCATCGGCAAAGGAAATCTCTCTTGACGGAGCGTCGGCTATGTTGTCAATTGAAGATACCCATTCGAGCTGCAACGCGAAATTCGCCTCCAGGGTCAAAGCAAATATGAGCTTTAGGACTTGTGCCAGCGCCAAAGACCTTGCCTTCAAACCGGTCCACGCATGATATAAACCTTGGGAATCAACTTGAACCTTGACCCTCCGATCCCACAGGCGATCCATGACTGACAATAAAACAAAGTACAAAGCAAGGGCCTCCTTGTAGCATATGTCAACTATGCCCTGTATCTCAGGTGACCAATAATCCCCAAAGGCGACGTTGCCTGTGTGTTGCATCAACACGCCTCCCCATCTGTAGCCGGATGCGTCTGAACTGAGATGCAAATTCAAATGCCGCTCTTGTCTCCAAGGGATGGGCTCTGAGAAGGAGTCCACAAACCGCCAAAACAGTATTTCTTTCCTAACTGACTCTGTGAGGACGAGGGGGGTGACGTCATCAAGCTGATGCATAAATGAGCAGCACTCCCTGATATACAATGAAGCCGCCGGGAAAACCAAAACAAAGCTTTGGCATTTGCCAACAAAACGCTGCATCGTCTTCAGTAGTGCAGCGTTATCTGCCAAAACTCCCTCCCTCACTTCGGCAAAGGATATCTTTTTCTTTTCGGGTATCCAAAAGGACATGGATTTTGAGCAAATCCCCAGACCCAGGTGAATCATGTTTGAGGACGGCTGAAGTTGGCTTTTGCTGAGATTCACAAAATACCCCAACTGCATCTGCATATAGCAGACTGCATATAACGCCCTCGATGCTTTCATGTAAGCCGTCTCCAGCGTGGCGACACCCTGTAAACAATCAAAGGGGTAAACCTCATAAGCTAGTCCGTAACCTGCCCAGCCACGCTGCTACTCTGCCCAATGAACCGGTCATCGATCCATATTTCGGTGTGGATGCCTCTGTTCTTCAACCACGTTGAAAGACAAAACCCAACAGTGGTATAAATGTAAGCACTATTCTTAAACCCAAATGGCAACGTCGTATCCATAAAATAAAAACCGGCCCATTCGAAGCCACAGAAAGTCTTGGACCTTTGAGACAACTTGACCTGCTTATACCCCTGCGCATCGTCCGTTCCTGAAAAATGCCCATTCCTGTCAATCGACTTAGCAATGTCTCCCAGGGGAACAAGATTGAACGGATTATCTTTACACCATAAGTTTGGACCCTTCATTGACAGTACCAGCCTGGGCTTCTTTGGTTCTATTGACAAAGCATTGACGCATCTGGGAGGAGGAACCAGATCAACCGGCCCTACGAGCTCCACTGACCCTTCTATGAGTTGATTAGTAATGGTCTCGTTAATAAAGTTCACGAACTGCCTGCAGTTTGGCGCGTTCGCGAAATACATCGGTGGAGGGATATCTGAGTCAAAAGACCTTCCCCTGTATTCCCCTTGGTAGTGCTGGAAAAATTCAAATAAATCAACTCCATGTTTAAGCCACTGTCGAACTAGGCGCCCCGTACTAGGGCATTCCGCCAGAACATCCTCCCAAGCATCCGCACTGTCGTTCAAGCCACCCGCAACAAACAAAGCGGGATCCCTAAAACGGAGAGCCTTAAAATCTGGTTGACGAATCCCAGCCAAAACATCTGCGGGATCCGGAGCCGACCCGTCTGGCGCGTCGGCTGGTTTGCCGTACATATCGACCCAAGAGTAATCACCCATGCTTCGTCTCATAGCCTGTGCCTTGTTCGGATCGAAATCTTGACCTGACGAACGCTCCCACGTATGCGTGCTTAAGATGCCCATGTATTTTTTTGTACGCCTGTAAATAAATGCACAACAAAATGCGATACAAAGGGAAACCGCAAATTCGATAAAACTCAATGAAGGTATGCTCTTTATTTTCCTTCTTCTTCTTCCTGTCCTAGTTCTTCTTCTTCTCTTTCTTCTTT